ACCAGACACAATAACAGTAGCTAGAAAAGTCGGACCTGTCTGGCCACAGCTTGGCATATTTTCTTCTCCGCCATTGCAGAAAATAAGCTTAGTACCAGATTACTCGATTTAGTATCGTGACAATGATAGTACGAACACGACACCTGTGATTGTTTTTTTCTTGTTTATTTAATTTAAAAATGGTATTGTAAGGCACAAATTTGAATGCTATGTGAATAGACAAAGTGCGCATTTTCCACCGCCGTGGTAGTTCTTATGGCAGCCTTCAGATGGTAGGACTTAAACAGGAAGAACCGGCAATCACTTGTTCACGATAACGGCGTCGCGTATAGGGTACGGGGTTGCGGGCGCGGTAGTTTCAAAGAAACAACTTGAATGCGGAATGAGTGATTCGCCTCGTTTAACCAAACGAGTATTTCTTGAAAAACATTAAAAGCCGAAAGTATCTATAACTGAGTATTCAGTGTTTCTATGAGCTTAATATCCTCAATAACTTTGAAATAGCTGCTCGCATAAAAACCCTCACCTACAAGAAAAAGTTTTTTGTTTAATGTATTCTTTTTTATGTCTGTGTTTTTTTTTTTTTTTATATTGCAAGACAAATTAAGATAAGTTTAGGGGGTGAGGTAGTAAATTCGAGTAGCATTTGTTTAGGTGTATTCACAGTTAAATAATTCTACGTCCAGTTGACACTACCATATAATACACATAAAATCATCGATACGAATGATGCGCCGCAATTCATAGATTATTTTTGGCAGTCAAATGCCTAGAAGGACTGCCTCCATGCTGGCCTCTCGGAAAAAAATATATAATTAGAAAATAAATACGTAGTATCTTTCTTTGCTGACTTCTTGGACAAAGTTGTACCAAACTTTGCCCCTTTTCATAACACTGTTTTGACTGCCACTGTCGTCTATCCTCGATCAAATATGTACATCAGCGACTAGGTTCTTGTTGCAAGGAAAAGTGATAATAATTTTAGAAAGTGTTCGGCTTTTAATGAAGACTCATGACCCCTGCTTGCAAAGGAGTCTGTTTTAAGCAGCACATAATCAAAAAATGTCATTTCGGGTGAGATCGACTTCTAATGAGACTGTAATTTTCGGGGTGCCCGTCGAGAACACGACGGTCTTCTCATCGACATCCACGCGTACGTAGTCGTCGTCACAATTTAGCTGAGTTCCGCCCCCGGGGAAGAAGGATTCGCGCCTTCGTGCTACAATTTCACGCCCCGGAACTTTTGGGTCTGGCGTTCGTTCGGTTCCACTCCATCTACCAATCCTGCTCCTGAGTTCTCTTTACTTGAAATCTAGATTTTATCTTCTTTTTTTTAATATTTACAGTTACTTTTTTAAATCACATGGAAGTTTAGTTTTCTTTTTTTTTTTTTTCGTAAATACAGTATTACTGTTATTGTGTCGCGTACGAACGCGGGAGAATAGTTTTCGCCAGGCTCCTGTCCTCGGACTTAATGGGCAAATAAAATTGGAATTCACCTCTCCCAACTCTGCACCATCTCGTTTCGGTAGAAACACACAAACGATAAAGTTTCGCATTTTTTAAGGCAATTTTCAGAGAATCAGGCAGTACGGAACACTTTCCTGGCTCTTTTTGTTTTTCTTATATCATTTTTTTTTCTTCTTTTTTTAACCTTACCCGTTACGCCGTGCGGGAGTCTCCACTTCATTTTCTCCCCGAATTTTCTTAATAGGTAATCTTAGAACGTGGACAGTTTTCGTCTACTTTTTCCGGCGAATTGTTTTTCCTTATACATTTTTTCTTTGTTTTGGAGCCAAGTAGACTTAGTTGCTGAGCCAAGTCGCGGATTCTATTTGGACCCCTTCACGCCGAGTAACTCAACATTGAAACAAAGCAAAACCTTCATATAAAAATATGGCGAAAGTTTAGAGACAAAAAGCAGTTAAGGTATTCGTGTGTATCAGCAGCTTTCGAATATAAAGAGGTTTCGCCTTTAAACAAAGATAACAGTTCGGTGAAATTCCCTGCCTCACCTCATTCTAAGACCGGGCACCGAAGAATTTCAACCCCTTGCCATTAGATTGTCCTTCTTTCGACTGTATTGTTATCTAAAACGGTTTCTTTTTTTTTTTTTCTTTGAAAATAGCCAGTGCCTAAGGAGACGACTTAGTGTAGATTTTCAAGCTGGCTAAATGTAGGCGGAGGGGCGTATTTTGAGTTTTTGTTTTTTGCCACACCAAAGAAAAAAAAAGAAGAAAGAAAAAACTTAGTAGAGAATTTTTTTTTTTTTTTTTTTAGTTTTTGGGGCTTTAGGATCAAGCATGGCGACAGTAACGCGCTGCTGAAACGCGCATTTAGGATACAACACAATCTAATAACTACATGAACTTAATTGTATTTGTATCTGCATCTTTCTAAGTTGCTAAGCCACATAACATATATTTTGTTTGATTGCATTAGCTCGTAAATATACGCGTTAAAAACCATTTGACGGCTTGCCTTATTTGAAATGCCACGTTAGTTCATAAAATCACCATTTTTCTGGCATACCGGAAGCGCGGAAAACTAAGATCTTCGAATTATTACTATTAAAGTATTGAGTCCAGTTCCTTAACTTTTTCGGGCCTTTATTCACTTTAGATTATACGTTCGACAGCAAAGGACGAACTCGAAGACGTAGTGTTGTTTGTTTCTTCAACCTTTGGGGCTACGTGGAGAAAGCACGCGAGGCTGAATTATCTTTCAATTTCCTTCGTTGCGCGACAATCTGGGATCTCTTTCAGGCGCTCGAATTTCGTCGAGATTGGACGAAGGACTTTCCGCGGTTGCCTCGTACAAACACACAGTCCCCCCTTCTCCCGCGCCCGCTGTCCGTCCTTTTTCCCCCTCCTATCTCTTTCTGCAAAAGCAATTTGGCGTAACTTGGGATGGATATCGGACCCCGTGTGGGATGTTTCAAATCCCGAGACTTAGGAGAGAAGACTCAATCTCCGGGTCTGTCTCGGAAGATTCGGGCTTTAGGAAGAACAACGAAGCCCGAGGACTTAGTTTCTGATTGGATAGGTATCAGAGTCTCCAGAACGCGTCATTCCGGAACTCGATGGCGTCTCGGTGAGGTTGCTTTCCGTCCCCAAATTATATTTTATTCTGGAAACAAGCAAAGAGTCGAGTACGTTTTTATATTTTTTCTTTGTCCGGGCCATAGGGCAACGCCGTATAAGTTCTATTGGGTTCTTGTGTTTTTTGGCTTTGCGGCGGAGATTGGATATAATTTGGAGTGGGCTTAGAGTTCTAAAGGGTTTTTAGAAGGAAGTCTTGAGATGTTTTGTTTTCGTGGATCAAGCAAATCCTTCTTCTCGGAATGAAACGTATCTGCAGCAGGTTTCAATAAGTGATCAGATTAAGCAAAGAAACAATAAGGGGTTGTGCATATTTCAGAATCATACATTTGTGAATTAGATTTAACTTAGGCAAGGACACACACAAAGAGAACGCGTAATAAAATAAAAAGGTATGGAGTTCATCAGAGAAATCTGCAGTCCTTAAAGGGGCAGTCATGACGTTTTTACTTGATTTTGCGACATTATGGTCTTTTTCGGGGGTGGACAATTTCCTTTCGGTGTGTATTGATTGTTTCTTTCAGGTATACCTATTTTTCAGACATTCTATGAATGATTTTTAGGAAAGATAGCGCGAGTCATGAGAATAATTTTACCCTCAATGCATGACTTTTTTATTTTTTTCATTAAATTATTTAGGGGTGGTTCCTACTATAAAGCATGATTCTAAACAGGCACGTAGCCAAGATTTTGATGTGGGGGAGGAGGGGGGGGGGGGCAGGGCGAGTGGGCGGGGGCCTGTTTATAACAAAATACTGTATGAGGAGGAGGAGGGAGAGAAGGCCCCAGCAAAATAAAAGATTTCAAGATTTTGGTTGCGGGTGGGGGAAACTCGAACCCTATGCCCCCCTACCCCTCCCCCCCCCCCCCCCCCCCCCCCCCCGCGGCTACGCGCCTGATTCTTAACATGATTTAGAAAAACTGTATTAGATTCTTTTTAATGAAAAGAACGAAGCAATATCTTATATATTATATCTGAGACACGATGCAGTGGTGCCTCATTCATGGCTTGTAGATACGGCGAAAGCAGTTTTTGTCTTCGTTCGAGCGCAGGGAAACAGCAAATTTCTCGCAGTTTCAAAACATCAGGGATGCTCAGCCTGAGAGCTAGGAGAGCTGCCTGAAATTTGGGCTTTGCCAGAAAATGGTGCCGACGTCAGCAAGCCGTGCATCTGAGCGCCGGTAAACCAAATGGCTCATGTAGAAAAGCATTCTCGAGACAGGTGGCGCAAATCATTTAGCGGATCTGATACAACATGCATTCTCGGTGCCTTTCCGCTCCGATTTCTTGAAAAGCGCTTTTTGCATGACTGTATCATATCATATACTCCATGCATTGTAGGGTTAAGTCGCACACAAGCTCCACTTATTCATCATTGGAACCTAGAACCTCTCTATCATCTGTACACTATCTTATCAAATCATCATGATGCGGCGCCGTAGGTCGTCGCGTTATGAACTTGTCTCTGTGCGGTGCCGCGGCTCTCTTGTACCAAAATAAATATTAATGATAACATTACGGTTTCTTTTACTTTTACCGTTACTATTACTATTAGTACTGAACGTTCTGTGGCCTCTCACATATCACGAATAGTAATTCTGCATCTTGCCATCAGATTGCATGACGCGGGCTTTTGAAGTACAGTAGACGGATGGGGTCGCTAGAGGCTTATAATCGGGTAACATTAACGAGGGCAATAGAGTAACATTAGAAGAAGAGTCAACGTGTAAGGCGCATGCAAGTTGCACATTTCGCTTCCCAATACCGAACTTTTGAAAGCATTTGCTTCATCTTATCTTTCAAATGCCGGCATCGTAAATGCTTATTCCAGTATTACAACGGGTTCCTATCACATGTTTTCACCCGCCTAATACTCCCTCCCTCTTGTTCGTTTGCAGAGCGAAAGCGGGGCCGCCAGACGTACACGCGCTACCAGACTCTGGAGCTGGAGAAGGAGTTCCACTTTAACCGCTACCTGACCCGCCGGAGGAGGATAGAGATCGCGCATGCCCTGTGCCTCACCGAGAGGCAGATCAAGATCTGGTTCCAGAACCGGCGCATGAAGTGGAAGAAGGAGAACAAGGCCAAGCTCGAAGCCGGCCTCGCCTTGGGCCACGGTCCGCCGGAACTCAGCCACCACCCCGACCACGGGCCGCAGTAGAAGAGAGGCCCCGGCCGCGCGCATCTTCATCGTCCCCTGGACTGCAGCTCCGCAGCTTCTCGCCTCACCCGTTGGTCCCTCAGCTCATGCCTCAAGCCCCCAACGCCTTCCCTACTCCGTGTCGCGCCCGTAAGGGCGCTGTTTCACCCGACAAGGACACTTCTTTCGGTTGTGTGGTGCACGTGGCTCCGCGTCGCCGCCAAGTCGAACGGACGTCTACTTGGTACGTCGATGGCTGAAGAAACCCGCCGCCCTAATTGTCACCTTTCGAGATTGATTGAAGCTTGCTTGTGTTCTGTGGTCCCTTGGACAAAGGTACAATTCCGTGAGATTTGGTGGTGTCATTCTCTCTCTCGATTAAGTTATGTGTAATCATCATTCGGTTACGTGATATACTTGGGTTGCCCCGTTTCGACGATCTTGAATTCGCAATTCAAAGTCCACAACATCGCCGTGATGTCTTTCAAGGACAAGCCTGTGGGCGTCTGCATATTTTCCAAACGATGTAATATAAATTTGGCAAACGTCGGAGATGGATCCCACTTGAGAGTTAAATGGTTAACGAAGAAATAGTGTAGACAAGCACAATGTGGGAAGAAATTGTTCGATTGTTAAAGCGCTGCAAAACAAATCATCGTTAAGAGCAACATGGACTGATCAGATTATTCAATACGTTAGAGCCACGGGATTTGTGTTTGATTGACGGCTAGTTTTACGGGCACCTTGAAAAACTACAGTCTGATTTTTACATTCTCGTGGCCAGCAGAATTGTCCACGTCCGACGTTAACTTTTCAGCGGTGTGCTGCATGCCTTCATGGAGGTAGGACTGCATCCCAATGTAGCTCTATTTTTTTTTTTTTGTTATTGAGGGAAGGCACTAACACAGGTGGGTTCACATCCTGAAGTTACGGTACGCGACGTAGTCAAACCCCCCAAAAATTTTAAAAAGTAATCTTAAAGAGCACGTTGAAGTCGGTCGTAGAAGCAGGCATACTCTGACAAAAACACTTTCTGCGTTGAATTTCTTTAACGATGTTCATGTCGAAACGTTCGGTTGGGAATACATCTCTGGTTTATCTAGTATGTAGTTAATGTAGTACCACATGCTTCTTATCTTTTCGCCAGAAATCGAGGATCTAGTATTCTGTTCATTCATGGCACAACGTAATAAGGAACAGGCTACCATTATTAAAGTATCATTCAACTATCGCATCAAACGAAACGAGGGGCGGACCCAAGAGGGGGCGACGAGGGCGGCTGCCCCCCCCCCCCCCCCCAAACAAAGTCGACCCCCCCCCCCCCCTCCTTCCTTCTCGGAGGGCAATTTTACATGGGTGTACCCATCTGTGCACACGAAAGAATGGGAGAATAGTCTCCTTACAAATTTTCCGCCCCCCCCCCCCCCCCTAAAACGAAGTTCTGGATCCGCCCCTGAGCGAAACTGCCTGTAAGCGCAGAAACAAAATTGGTTACCGCAATGTAGCAAACACTTTAAGGGCGAGCGATTTAATATTTAATTCAAAAACCAGCAACAGCTGAACGCAGAACATTAATCCTAAACCTATACCCTAAATTCCATTTGAGACAGGAATATCGGTCACTTTTATTCACACCGTTTATTTTAATACCCAGGCATACGTATACGTTGAATGCAATCTAACAGCTCAATTTCATTGCATGAACTTTTAGAACATCTCGAGTTTGCCTCATCGCTTTCAGATCACCAGCCGATAATGCTACTATCGCCGTTTATGATCGAAGTACGTTTGCGAACGACCGAAGTACCTCATATACGCAAGGCACCTGTATGTTCCCTCCAGAGTATTTATTTAAGTTTTGGTGCGACCGCGAATCTTCCGTGGGTGTTCCGCCCGCTTCTATTTTCTTGTTTTTAACGTAGAGTTTGTGTTATACATATATACGTATGGAACCGATGAGTTCGTATTGTTTATTCTCGAATACCGATATACGTACAAGACGTTGTTGGAGCGGCACAACTCAACTGATGCTCACAGTGCAATACTCATCTCCTCATTCTAGTTTGTTTTGTTTTCTTCCCCATTTTATAATTTAAGATTCCCTGTCAGAAATGTCGCCCAAACTCTTTGTCTGTCTTCAAGACACTCGTCGCGACTGCCAGTGCATCCGATGGTTGTAAAGCAAGGTTGTGTGATTTACTGAACGTGGCGTTGACCATCTGACGTCTTTGCAACCCCTAAATCCGCGGTGTACGTCATGTAACGCGATTTCTGCGAGCACGCAAGGAAGCTTTGTTTTGTACTAAACACCTCTCTCCCTGTCGTGTAAAACTGGTTTAAAAAGGAAAGAAAGAAGCAGCTTTCTGTTTTTTATTCGCCGATTGTGCTAGCAGCTTGAACAACTTTAAATAGCTATAAAAACCTCTGGTCTCGTTTAACAGTCCAGGTCTTGGGATTTAGCTGGTTGGTTCTTTTCTACGCCTTGATGAAACTGCGCTGCGAAGCGCTACGAATAAACGACGCTGGGACAAGCAAGACGACACAACATATACATGCAAGTGCTTACTTGTGTGTCGTGTCGTCTTGCCAGTCTCAGTGTCGCTTGTTAGCAATCAATCACAGCGCAGTTCCATGAAAGCTCTGTAACTTCGATGATAAAGGAACAATTGTTAGCCTTCTAAAAACTCAAGGTACCGAAACAACTCTACTTTTATCTTGCCGATAGGGTTACATTTTTGTGGTTTCCTCGACTCCCCCCTCCCGCTTTCCTGTCTTTTATTTGGTGACACCCAAGGCGGTTTCTCCAATCTTTTTTAAGGTTTTTTTTTTTTCCTATTCTTTTTTTTTTTTTTTTTCCGTCTAGTTGTGGCTTCCTTGCGAGTACCTCAGTTCCGGGAACTCGTTAGGCAGGCGCTCAAGCGAGTGTCCTCCCCCTTCCCCTCCTGCCCCTTTGTGCACGCGCTACCTAACCCGAGGGCTTTGCCGGGACAAGGCGCGTCTCTGTGTGTCAGCGTGCACGCGCGTGCTTCCCGACATCGCGGCCCTCGAAGGCTTCTTCCGAGCAGGGGCGATGCTTTTAGCGACAAAAGCGCGGTGGCTCCGGCGGCCACCCGCTCGCACCCTTCTTGCGCAACACGCTTTGGGTCTGGCCCGAAAGCCCCAGCACATGAGTCGTCCGGCGGCCGCCATTTCGCCTGGCTGAGTCTCCTCTCAGCGAATTTACTTACACGCGCAGTGGTATGCGGCGATGCTTTGATCTCTTTTGCGACACTGCGCTGCTTCACCGCGCCGACGCTGTTCTCTTTGCTGCTGCCGGTCACCGAGGTGATGTGATGCCACGCGGGAACAACAAGTGGACAACCGCGGGAACAATTGCAACGCGCCACGAGCGACCCCCCAGCCACGGCGGTGTGTCCTCCTGCCTCCCCCGAACCCGACGAAAACAACAACTCCTTCTTCTGGTCCAGAGTTATCGTGAGATGCACGTGTGCGACGGAAACGAACAAAGGGAAAACGGACAAAACAAAGAAAAAAAAGACTCGGCTCATCAACGAGGTTCGCCGTTCACCGTGGTGGCGCGGTGACGTTCGGCTAGTGACTCCGATGCAGCCCGCGCGTGCGTGTGTGTGCGTGCGTGTGTGCGTGAGTGTCTGTGATGTGTTTCACTCTCTTGGCGCTCGCTGGTCATCGGTCGCAGTCAGCGGGAGTGCAAGTTCAAACCCGTTGTGTTTCTTTTGCCCATCCCCACCGTGAGTGTTGATGTGTGCGTGTTCTCGAGGATCTGAGTCTCCTCTCACCGAAAATATTTGTTCATTTGTGTGCCCTGTTTTCATTTTATATAATTTCGTGTTCTTCTCAGACCCTGTCAGCGTGTCGATGCTCTTGACACGCGTGTGCGTGTTTGTGGGAAGATGGTGTGTGCGAGTGGGGGGATGAGACGGGTGTCGTCTCTTCTTGTTTCGTGTCGCGCGTGCAACGCGTGTGGGTGCATGTCTCGCTGTGTTTTGCATGTCTGTTTGTGCAAGGCGGGGAGAGGGTTGTCTATATCAGTTTTATCTCTTCCTCGAATGAATCGTTGGGAGAGAGAACCGTCGAGAGTGAAGGAGATATCAGAGCGATTTACCCCTTTCTACAGATAGGTAAAAACGAGCGGTTTAAGTAGCGAGGTATACCTTTCTGTCTCGAAGAGATATACGTATACAACAGCGGAACTGAATGCACTCCTGGCTTTCACGAGTCGTCCTCAATGTGATTGATTTCTTGATGCCTCGCGGTGCGAGTGAGGAGTGGATAATACTGGATCAGCTCGCAGAAATTGTGCCGTACATTTGCCGCTTTGTTAAGGTCAACATTGCCTCTTTAGTCTTATTTTTTTTTTTAAATCCAGAAATATTTTGAAAATTGGTGTTCTATTTTTTACACAGAAATATCTATCGGAATAGCCGTTTTCATTTACAGAAATACAAATACATTAAAAGTATCCTTCTTTGCTGCAGGGTTTTAGTGGCCACGCCCAAATTATTTTACGATAAAGAAAATAATACGACACTGCTTTATTTTTTTTTGCACCAAATGAAAATAATTTACGGAGGTTATTTTGGTGGTTTAAACTTTACTCGGGTATTCGATTCCTGCGTACGTGTGGATGCATGCATTCCGTTTTTGAATTTGTAGTGATGTTACGTGACTCCACGTCTCCCTCTTTTCGGATCCTCGAATCCTGCAAAAACACAGGTTTCCACCTTGTACATTGTAAAACGAGACTATTCGCAGTCATGTCGCTCAAGTAAAATTTGTGTATAGATCTCAGATATCGTGTCACGTTCCACTTTTTTGTCGCTCTTTTCACGTTTTCAGGTCCGCCTACGCCTATGAATATACACACTAGTGTTGGACCATAGGCAACTCTTCAATTCAAAGGGCACAAGAGAATCGACCCGTCAACTTGAAAACAAGGCCATACTCTGCTAGTTCGAACGTAATATTTTATTTCTGTGCCCCAACAACAAAAGAACACAACC